AGAAGTGGAGTCTCTAATTGTAATTTATTGACCAAAATTGTGTTTTTTTCCCCCACAACACCTTTATTTGCAACCATTTGGCGTTCTTTAGAAGTGGACCCAATAACCAAAGGCCTGAGACTGCAGTTTCAGCACATTTTCTGCATTTAAAATGGCAATGATTTCAATAAATATTTTATTGTTTAGAGAGGATGTCTTCACTGGTTTATAACATCTGTTGGTAGCATTTCATCGAGTTGTTTTTATGTATTCCCCTGTCACCTCTTTAACTGGAATTATTTGTGATATAAACATAACTGCTATATTCTGGCTAATGAGGCATGAGGCATGAGCTTTTTGTAACTCTTAATATATCTAAATATATCTTAGCTTGAAAAAGATCATTTTTGACTGAAGGGGGTTCATGCGACAGGGCCCGGCTGCTGGTTGGTCGACCAATCACAGAGCAGCACTGAGGTTTATGTGGAAGCTAAAGGTGAAGCGCCCAAACAAACTAAAACAAACATGGTGTACAACAAATGTACTTCAGCCTATTTTATAGAGTATTTTGTTTTTGAAAATCATGTACAAGGTAAACAGTGCATTTGTTGATGGCAAAGATATCTGTGCTTTTCTGTCTGGATGTAACAAAAGTTAGATTTTTCAGCTTGTTCCTCTGTTGTTACACTTTGACCAATCAGCTTTGAGTATTGAGCTATGAGTCCCTTTCAGCAAGAGCCATTTGTGTAGAACTCAATACAGAGTGCTGCATGTACCAGTGTGGTGTGAGCCAGGTTCCCTTTGATAAGATTTTAGATTGAGTTATGAACATCCCATCTGCAGCTGATAACACACACTCAATAGCTTAAAAGTACTTAGTGTTAAATCAATCACTCATTATGTGCTAATATAATTCCTCCAATGTCAAAGCATGAGGCTGTGTAATGTACCTTATCTGTTGTCACATCCCACACTGCATGTTCTGCTCGGCTCAAAGGTGTAGTAATATCAGTCTCCATCATTTGAAACAAGTCCAACTTGGGAAAATTGGCTGCAGCCGCCACAACATCTGGCATTTCTCCCTCACTCCTCACAAACATGGCCATACTCCAATCCAATATAAAATTCAGAGATGAGCTGCAATTTGAATCCAATCCTGTTACTGTCAAAGAATAAATAATCTGACCAGACCTCCATGATCCTTGTTTAATAGTGAACTGCCGTGTCTTCGAATTTCAGAAGGAGTTAAGAGGCTAATAAATCTCTTTGGGTCATTCACTGTTTTTGAAAGAAATAACCCAGCAAATCATATTTTAGCAGGTTTTTAAATCTGTGCTCACAAATATCGCCTTTTTCCATTAAATATTACTACATGTTTTTAACTTTACTATATAGAAACCTAGACAGGGTGGCGACACCTAGTACCTCCGCTTGATTTCATTTCTCTCCAGCGTTGAGGTGAGGGATCGGAATACAGTACACCGTTTGCAAGAAACCCGGAAGTTGTAGACCACGCACCGGCCAATCAGCGAAGAGCTGTGAAGCCATGACATGAATCTCAAGCCCCTGTCTAGGTCCCTTTTGTGGTACAGCACAACAGTAAACAAAGCGGTCGAGATGGATGTAGACAAAGTCATACATTCTGTGTTGGCAATGATTCCTGAGATCGAAGATTTAAAGCTGGAACAAAGAGAATGTTTAGTGAATTTTATCAAGGGGAAAGACGTTATCGCCCTTCTTCCTACCGGATTTGGTGCATTTTGTCACGACCAAATAGCAGCGATTGGTTAAATAAAAAAGTACCCAACTACCATTGAACGAACAAATCCTAATGCTGTGAGGTCAGACGGTTTCCACGAAGTGAAACCAGTTGATGAATCAGGTTAATAGAAACCCCCCCCCCCTTGTTCATTCTGCCTATTTCAGTTCTTACTTGTTTAGGCATGAGGGCTGCTTGAGATGGCAAAAATTATAATCACAATTACTTGCTCATAATTGAATTCATGGTTATTTGAAACGTTTAAATGTGTAGCAGACACTGAGGCGAGGGGGGTTAAATGTCTTGCTCAAGGATTCAATAACAATAATCATCTGTGGGAAGTGGAATCGTTGTGGGCCAATGGATCTGACTGCTCAACCAACCTGTAGAGAAAGTGTATTACTGATATAAAAACATATTTTAGAAGTAATGTCTGATGACTCTTTTGCTTTTACTACGTCTATGTAGATTAAAAAGTACCTGGGCTCAAAGTTTTGCAGGTAGAACGAGCACAAATATTCCAAACAGAACGGGATTCATTATATTTCTGATTACAACATTTTGTATTTGAATAGAGCAATAATTGAAATCATGACTTTAAATGTGATTAATTGCACAGCCATAGATTTTAATCATAAACCAGGACAAATATACCTACCTCAGTTCAACAATACAGACTCTTAACTCATTTTCAAACCTGCAGATCCAAAAGGCCCTCTCTTTCATGGACGTTTAATAAGAGCCACTTACACTCGGAGTGAACACAATTAGGTGCTCGGTGACAACCTCTGGAGGCGAATTAATCTCTCAAATAAAATTGGTGGCGGCGCTCAATATGTCACCCAGTGGGAGAGCCTTCATTCCTATTCATCCTGTGCTCGAGAGTTAAAGCTCATTTCCTGAACTGGTGGCTCCTCGCAGTGGGATACCAGATTTTAATCCTGGAAAATCCACTCCATACTCCTATCAAATTCACAGATTTCATTTGAAAATATTGTGGATTTTCATGTGGTCCAAGATTTGGTGTTACACGATATGTTCTTTTCCTGTTTTCTGGTTTAAAATGAACCAAGTAACTTTTCTGGTGGGGCTTTGTCACTGGTTAGTTGCCATGAAATGTTCTTGCTTTGCCTGGAATGTTCCACAGTACAGCATTAAACTTATTTTTATTACTCCAAAATGCATTTTTACAGAGTGGGCTTGCTTCTCCACAGATCTGACCTCTAACCTGACCGGCCCATGGACTTAGGTTAGAGGTTTAAGGCCATAGTTTGATACATGCAGGCAAAGCAGTAACATCTCCATGGAAACAAGGAAGCAGACCCCCAATCAGAAAAGTTACACAGTGAACCTTTAAATTAAACAATAGAAAAATAAAACTGGCACATGTTCCAGCTGTCACAATAAGTCACAATAAGAAGAAATAACTGTAACACTTGTTTGTTGACATATATTTGTTCAGGTGATCCAAAAAAAAAGAAAAAAGAGAAAAGCTGTAAAATGACATTGCACTGGGTCGGTAGTGATAGTTCACCCTTAAATCTCTCCTTAAGAAAATGTACCACATGGAGACAAGAACAGATTTTCCCATTTGGTGGAAGTGTATTGCATTACGTGTGTGTAAACATATTGAAAAGTCTCTCTCCAGGTGCTTCAGAACTGCAATAACACTGTAATATTATGTCTATTCATTTGGACAGATAGGGCCCCAAAGCCATAGAAAACAAGCCATACATCATTTAGTTTGGAGTTTTCATGAAAATATCCGTTTTATACAAAAATTAAATACACTTACAGTATGTTACAACTATTTTTCTTCCATTCAGGTGTGCGTAGCCATGACGACGAAGCCTCTGGGAAAGAAAGAAACTTAAATGTGTCTCAAATCACAAATAGATTTCCTTATACTTACTACATTTTTTACATTCTTGTTCGCACCTTCAAACACAGTATTTAACAGTGATTATCCAAGCTAGTGAGCCAAAGCAAGTATAACATTTATGATGCCATGTCCCCAGATGTTACATTCCTCTAGTATTTATATTATCTAAAAATACAATTACCATAAATATTTTTCAATTAATAATGATAATACTTCAATATCAATATTTACCAGCACAGTGTATTATGGCAGTTTTTATGTAGACACACTAACTCTAGTGTAAAAGCTTTGTGACAGATCAGTGTTAATTTCGTGACACTCAACATCAGTGTAGAATTTTTCAACACTATGGAGTGTTGTTTTTAATGCTGTGGGTGTTAAAAGTAACTCCAGATCAATGTAAAATACTTCCAAGTGTCAATCTGACACTAAAAAGAGTGGTCAAAAATAGACACTTTTAAAGTGTTGAAATTAACACTCACAGAGTTAATTTAACACTGGCAAATTTGCTGTTTGTATTTAAATATTAAATCAATATACAAGTATATATCTCTGTCTTTTATACTTTAATTGCACAAACATTACCCATACATTATATTTAAAACTGTATGCATCATTATTACTCCCATTTAAATCTGAATAAAATAAAATATATAGTGTAGTTGACAAAAATATATGAAAAACTATGAATGAATAGGCCTTTTCCTTTCAAATCAACATTACTAAATACTACATTCACTGGCATACAGACTTTAAACTCTCATTGTAAATTATCATATCAAATTTCACAGTTTTAAACAGACACATTTTCACAGACATGTTTTATTTCCAGATATTTTGAAATTGCAGCCAAAAGGAAACCTGGATACCCCCCAACAGTCTTCGCTAGTCCACTGCATTTTTCAAACACCATTTTTCAAGCGTTCTAACCAGAGAGGAATGTGATTTGAGACACACTTTTAGCTCAGGGCTTGGCAATAATGCAGCATTTGGCAAAAAAACAACAGAAATTCACCAGAGTCACCAAAGCACAGGAAGGAGTGAGGAGACAGAGAAAGGAGTGAGCAGAGGGAACAAGGAGACAAGAGAAGGAGGCAAGAGTGAGGCAAGATGTTGGACACATCCCAACTGTGAGATTAACAATTCCTCATTATACTTTTATAGAAGTCTTTTACTTTTTTACAGTTCAACCAATCCAAGAAGCAAACGACGGTCATGTGACTCCACCAATCCATATATGGTCACTCATTGTCCATTTCCTGGCGGTGAACAGTACAAAAGAGTTACTCATATGGTTCTCTATAATGTCTTTAAGGTATTTTGGACAGGTCCAGTCTTAAAACGTGTAGATTTTGGTTACGAGACAGTCTTCCTGGTCTCTCAGCAAAGGACAGCGATCGTTAGCAGTAGTGCTAGGAGGGCAGAAGCCAGCTGCGATGCATGATGGGAAAAAGCCTGTCCGGAGAGCTGGTCGTCACACTCCCCCGGGCCTTGGCATCGGGCGCGCTCACACAAGATGCCCGTGAAGCCTGGCGAGCAGAGGCAGCGCTGGTGATGCTGACACGTGCCGCCATTTTGACAGCGGAGCATGGCGTTGTCACAAACTCGAGCTGTGAAGAAAGAAAGAAAGAAAGAAGGAGAAGAGGAGAGATAGAGGGGGAAAAGACAGGAAAAAGCTGGTTAGAATAGCCAAGCATACTAAATGTGAGGGATAGCTTTGAACACTAGAGTGGACAGCTGTGGTAACATCCAGTAAGTCATATTGAACGGTGAACACAATAGGCCTCTATAAGTATATTAATCGGTCGATGGTGTCTCAGTCTACCATAATTAGGGTTATTATCAGTATTTTATTTAGATTATAAGGATTTATATGGGACAACTGCACAAAGGAGAGGCTAGTGAACGAGCTGAAGATATAGTATTTTCTGCTATTTATATGTAAAAAAGGCTCTGATTCAGACTGCAGGGCTTAATGCTAAATTCTGATGTTTTTGTGAAATCCAATGTTTTTGCGAGGTCGTTCACATATCCAATTAAATGCGACTTGTATGTGATCGCCAGTGTGAACATTAAACGCCCCAAAAGTGTCCCGCATGCGCATTGGAAGACATGACGACGTCACACACAGCGAGTGTGCTCAGTGTTTATGGAAATCGCCTAAACGCTGGGGTTGTCTCCCAAAATACGGTCCAGTTCTTCGTAAAATGGTCAGGTTACATGTCCACTGCTGCTTTGTTTGTTTGAATCTTTAGCCTTTTTGTATTTGGCTTGCAGGCTCTTTATTTTTTGTTGATATTGGAGCCATTTCGTGGACAGTCATTTCAAAAATCGCCCGGTTCCGATAAGACCTCTCCAATTTTGTCTGAATACAGCGATCCGGCCAAATATGAATGAATTCTCTAACCTCTCTTTCCCTCTATTGACTAGACTCTGAGCCTGACATGTAGGTGGGATGAATGTGACCTGACCATTCAGACTGAAGTCGCATGTCAAAAGATCGGTTATGTATCGGTTTTAGGAGCACATATCCAAGTGTCCGGGGTCATATTTGAAAATCTGTATCATTAAGACTGCCATTAAAAAATTAGATACAGGTTGCATAGGGGTGAAAAAATTGGATTTGGGTCACTTCAGGCTGCAGTCTGAACGTAGCCATAGAGATACGTAATAGTTTTGAGGGCTTTTTTTTTTTACCCCTTTTGAGTAGTACTTGACTGGCAGAATACGACTTCAGTCAACCAAGAATTTCTTCAGTCGACAACAGCCCTAAGACACACTTGGTGGCGCCACTGCCTTTTCCAATATGTTTTTGCATTTTATTGATTTGACCTATTTATGATTTAATGTCTGTTCAAATCGGAGAGAATCTATATCGTTATCATCAGTTAATTACTGTACAAATGATTCATATTTTATTGCCAATTGATTTGTCTACTACGTCTGGTATTGATGTGCAATCTTAAACAGCATAAACATGTGTGATATTTATGGCTGATAATAAAGACATGTATTTGAGTGAATATATGCTGAAATATAAATTCTCCCATATTAAATGGCCTGTATTGCATTATAATATGTTATAATGTTGTTTCCTCATCACATACATACTTGGAGTTCTGTTTAGTTTTAATCGAGTTCTGTTTAGTTTTAACACACAAATTCTGCATATTTAGGCTGTGTTCAAACAAAACACTGGTCCAAACATAAGTGCTCCACTGTCTTTTTACTTCATACACATTCACTACAATCACTTGGATAATTTCAGCCCTGGAATTGCCCATCTCGAGGTGTAAGGTGGAACAGAGTATTTTGATCTTTGGAGATGTAGACAGACTTGTTAAGAGCTACTTTTTACCTTTAGTTCAGTAGAGATTGACAATTCCAGAGCTGAAATTATCCAAATAATTCTAGTGAAGGTGTATGGAGTTTTAAAACACTGGAGCACTTTCTGTATTATCACAAGTTGGAAGAGAGTGTTTCTGGTTTTCAAGCCTAATATTCTGTTTTTACTGAGGAAACATTATAAAATAGATCAGAAAATAGCAAGATATGTGCCCTTTAACCGATATAAAACTATGATAATCCTGTCAAAGGCTTACAACCTCACATTTGGACAGTGGTTGCTCCCGTAGTCCACTCTAGCGCTCAATACTATCACTATTGCGTAAACAGCAGGTTGAGAGGCCACAAGCTGCCCACTCTGCTCCTGTCTCTGTGCATGTGTCCTTACAGCGGACACCTCCGACAGGGACAGACAAGGACTCCTCACACCAACGGCATTAAGATAAACAACACTGATGGACTCATGCATAATTTTAGCACCACCAAAGGCTAAGAAAGCTAAAAAAGTTACAACTAAACAGAGAAACAAGCAAGTCATAGTGGAGAAAGAGAGTGGAGATGAGTGATTTGTCATGCAGCAGGATTGGCTATAATTTAGGGATCTGTTTTTAAATGAAGATATGCTAAATGGAGCCTTATTTGGTTTATAATTTGATGAAGTCATACTCCCAGAGGATAACATTGTACTTTGTCATGAAATATCGAACAGATGAACTCAAAAATGTTGACCCTGATCATTGTTATTAGTGACTTGACCATAGTATTACTGTATAACAACAAAAATGTGCAATTTAAAGTTCCTGTGTTACTTTATTTTCTTGTCTATATGATAATGTGATAATTCTCATCATAAACATACCTGGAGTCGTGTTTTTTTTCATTCGCACATGTTTAACACACAAACCCAGCATATTTAGGCTGAAAAAACACTCTGTTCGACTTTGTAATGTCATATGGCAAAAGAGGAAGCGCGCCACTGTGTTTTTAAACTTCATACACCTTTGCTAGAATCATTTGGATTTCAGACCTGGAATTTCCAATCTCTACTGCTCTAAAGGTAAAAGAAAGCTGTTAACTTGGAAATTACCGCTTTGTGATATCACGAGGTGCAACAGAGCATTTTGAGCTTTTGAGATGTAGACAAACTAATAATGCAGGATTACTCAAACATGTGTCAATGAAATAAAAAAAAAACTAACTCTGAGTATGTTTTTGATGAGGAAACTTAGAGCTCACAAGAGTAAATTTTGGTAATATAGGGCCTCCACCTGAACCAGGACTAAACCAAGATTGAACGAGAACTAAACCATGATTGAACCAGGCGTAAACCAGGATTGAACCAGGACAAAATCAGGACTAAAACAGGAGTAAACCAGGACTGAACCAGGACTAAACCAGGATTTGAACCAGGATTAACCAGGACTAAACCAGGACTAAACCAGGACTAAACCAGGACTAAACCAGGACTAAACCAGGACTGAACCAGGACTAAACCAGGAGTAAACCAGGACTAAACCAGAATTTGAAAAAGGACTAAACCAGGATTTGAACCAGGATTAACCAGGACTGAACCAGAACTAAACCAGAATTGAATCAGGACTGAATCAGGACTAAACCAGGACTAATCTTGGTCTTGAGAGAGAGCGAGAGAACCCACAGCCTGCAGAGTAGGATGGTTGCAAAGCACGAATGGTCATCATCTGAAATTAGCTCTGTGGGGCGCAGAAACAATTTCGTGGACCTTTGCACCTTCCTTTTGCCGAACGGTCTACGTGGGCGCACCTCCCGACCAAACCTGACACTCAGTCCTGGTTCAGTTCTGGTTTAGTTCTGGTTTTAGACCTGTTTTAGACCTGGTTCAATCCTTCAATCCCCTCATGTGGCAGGTCACTATAGTCACCATTGCCAGTAGCTCTGCTTTGACATTTATATTTGTTATTTTTTTATGTTTCACATCGGGAGAAGTGGGTGGACGGCGTACCCCCGCGTACCACGTCCACTACACCCCTGCTCTTCTGCACTCACGGTACTCTTCACAACAATCACAAAGCTCAAGGGTACAAGCACTGCATTGAATTGTTTTTCTCAAGTTCAGGTTTTAATGACTTAATGAACATTGGATTATCTTGTACAATAGGTCAAGGCAGAATCAATGCAAAATCCAACTACTTTTATGGAAATTAAACGTGGAATAAAAACATATTTCAACTTCAGTGTTGTTCAAATGTCAAAATTTGCTCACAGGTCATAATATACATTCATTATTGTATTAAACTTAACTCTGTAACTCTGCCTTCTGCATCTTGCTCCCCCTGTTGCCTACAAAGCCCCATTGCAACTTCCTAAGCTTTTTGTTTCGCAGACAAAAACTCCGAACTCAATTACTCCAGAAAGCCGCTTCGTGGGCAGAGGTGAATCCAGGAAGAGGGAATATTTGCCCAGAGATTTTCAGCATAATTGGAAATCTGGGCCTGCATAAATAGTCATCATAGTAACGCACTTAAACTCCACAAACACTGACTGCTGCTGCCAAAAGTGATCAGAATGCATTGTTCTGACTTATTCTCAGCATTTTAAAGTTTTCAACAACTAATGCAACTTATATGGTTTATAGATGACTACTGTTTAACTAGCACTCATGGTAACTCAGCAATTAAGCAATGATTCACCACTTTGTTTCTTTTGGACCAGAACCCAGGCAGTCTTGGCAAAGTCTGTGCAAAGTCTACAAACCATCGCAATTTGTCACATTAAAATCTTGCAGGCGTTCCAATTTTAACAGTTTATTACCAACATTCACTCAATTATTTCGTAAAGGTCCTATGTTACGCCAAACTGACTCTACAATTGTGAGGTTTAAGTCATGTTATAATGCAAAAACATACCTGGAGTTGTGTTTTGTTTCATTCACACATGTTTAATAGGCCGGGAACCAGGGCCAGGTACAGTTTTTCACTATTATTTCCTGTTTTCTTATATCTTGGGCCATCACAAGTTGATAGGGACAACCCCAGTATAGCAGTGCATAAGTCAGTCTCATGAAATGGTAATGCCTGAAAGTTCTGTTTTCTGCCGATCTGAGGTACAGTGAAAAACATTGGTCATACCAGCTGTTATTCTCTTGCCAGGCCTGCTCCACCTAGTGCCTCGACTCAATTTAATTTCTCTCCAGCAACTAGGTCAGGAATCGGAATACACTATTTGCATGAACCGGGCACCAGCCAACCAGCGAGGAGCCATACATTCTGTGTTGGCAACGATTCCC